ATGAAAAAAATAATTAATGCACCATCTGAAATTTTGGCTGCATGCGGGGGCATCCGTGGCATGATGACACATTTCTAGTTTTTTTATTGAACTGTACTCCCAAATAAACATGGAATTTCAAAATGCTGGACAATATATGCTTTGATAATCTGTTAACAATTGATTACTGAATTCTAATTTAATAAGACCTACATTTTATTTCTTCTATTAACCTTTAAAAGAAGGAAAACAAAGCACAAGGCATAATTTTCTGATTCAAAAAAAAATAAATTTTTATCCAGACCATGAAAAAAAATTTTGAGTAGGGGCAAATTTTGTGAGTCGGTCGCGTTACTGCAAACAAACTTTTTTTTAAGGATGGCCTTAACCAGACAAGGCCCTATTCTCAAAGTGAAAAAAGGGAAATAACTGGGAAATATGGATGACACAGTTATATAACTTGGCAATATCATGTACTTTGTATTGATAAGTAAGTGTGGAAATTATAAAGCCATTAGTATAGATAGAACTTAAGATATTTCTAACTTGCCATTTTATGTTAACCATTATTCATTTTCTAAGTGCTAAAAAGGGCAATAACTTGGTAAATATGAAAGCCAGAGTTATGTAACTTGCCCAGATCATGTACTTTGTATTGATTAGTAAGTGTGTAAACTTAGAAGCCATTGGTACAGGTAGAACTTGCCATTCTAGGTTAACCTCGTACGGATAGACGGAAGGACGGTTCAGTCACTATATGCCCGGGGGCATAAAAAATCAACGCAAAATGGTGATTTTTGGCAATTTTTAGATGTCCCTTTTTGCCATGAAAACAGGAAATTTAAGACTGAGCATGTTGTTACAAAGGCAATGGTCCAGTCAACATTTGTGCCAAGTTTGATTAGTATTGAAGCAGTTTTTAGCTCGACTTTTTTTTTCTTTTTTTTTAAAAGTAGAGGTATTGTGATAGTCCTGGCGGCGTTGCCGTCCGCAAACTTGTACCTGGATCATAACTTTTTTAGGTCTTGGTGTATTGTCTTCATACTTGGCCACAGCAACCTTTGGGACAAGACCTTTCAGTAGACCACACCAACCTTGACTTTCATCCATAAATGACCTTGACCTTCAAGGTCAAAAGTCCAAATTTTGCTTGTTCTTGCTATTATTGGCTGTAACTTTGTTATTTTTGAATGCATTGTCTTCAAACTTGCACATAATAATCTTCAAGGATAGCCCTTAAAGATAACCTGACAGACTTTGACCTTCACTCATAAATTACCTTGACTTTGAAGGTCATATTATTGAAATTTTCATTTTTTTACCTGCAACTTTGCTATAATTGAAAGGATTAACTTCATATTACAACAGAACATTCTTAAAGACAAGACCTTCTTGTTTATCAAACTCAAATTGACTTGGGCTCTTTAATGACCTTGACCTTGAAGGTTAAATTACTGAATTTTAACTGATTTGTCCATTAAATGACCATATATATTTATTGGGGTGTATGTATATATATGTTTATAGAGATGCATAAATATAAATTACACTATGTAGGCATATAATGAACATTTCCAAACAACAGAACTAAGGGGTACTAAGTTATATATATATCAACTATATATTTAATTTTACAATAGGTGAAAACATTTTGACAAGAAACATAAAACCCCATTAAAAATATATACATTTGTGGTGCATATAGCATTAACTATTAAAACCGGCTTACGGGCACTATTTTAGAAGGGTAGCCTACACACCCATACGTCATTTGAAACATGCCCCACATTAAATATGAACCCCACAAGTATGGTCTTAAATAGACCGATGCCCCGTAAATGGAGGAATGTAACTGTATATATAAAAAAAATATAAAAAAAGTTTGATTCCTTGTGTGGATCTCATGTATAAAAAAGTATGTTTTGGGAAATGCTGAGTACAAAGTTCGTTAATTTTTTATATGTTTATTTCTGTTAGCACTTTCAAATGTTTTTACATATCTTCAGACAGTTATGTATAATATAATCATAACAAATATAACAATGACGATACGTATTTATTACCTCCCTTTATAGAATATTTACCCTATGTATTTTTGTAGCAATTCAATACTTCTAATGTAGAGAGTAAAAGAATATTTCATTTGCCACGCAACGTTGTATTTTTAGGTTTCTCTCACTTTTATAATGTTACGTCATTGTTGTCCCCGCCCGGCGATGGCTGACTTGTTATAGTTTTATAGCAATTTGAACTTGTAACGGGAGACTTTTCAATGAAAACAGCAATTTTTCACAAAATGTTCATGCAGTAATGGGTTAAGGTGACCCATAATGATATTCAAACTAGACCTAGAAATCACTTAAACAACCTTTTTGACAAATTTTCAGAATAATTGGGCTGAAAATGTCATATACACATGTATATATTATAATATAAATGAATAAACTAGTGAGATTGTTTATATCTTATATGAAGTAACTATTTGTTTAAACAATATTTATTTCATCTTCCATATTTTCAAACAAAATTTCAATGCATATATTACATCCAGGATTGAGTAGAAAGTTTAAAGCTTAAATGAAACTCTCTTCTAGTTAAGGCCCCCATGGTTACACGTTTAAACGGAATTGTTTCGATTTTCATTCGTAAACGTTTGCAATATTTTTACCGTTTACACGAAATGACCATACTTTATTGTCTTACAAAATATCTTAATCATTGCCTGTAATCATGGATTTTATCAATTCTAATTCAAATTGGTTTATTCCAAAGTAAAAAAAACAACAAAAAAACGGAAAATGGGTGTTTACAACCCTCCACACAGCATTCGCTCATGACATAATACATTTTTATACGCCCGTTTGAAAAACGGGACGTTTTATGGGAACGCCCCTGGCGGGCGGGCGGTCGGGCGGGCGGGCGGCTTCCAATTTTGTCCGGAGCATATCTCCTACATGTATGGAGGGATTTTAATGAAACTTCATAGAAATGTTCACCACTATGAGGAGCAGTGTCGCGCACATGAACCAGGTCTCTAGGTCAAAGGTCAAGGTCACACTTAGAGCTCATTGAAAAATGCTTGTCCGGAGCAAAACTTCCACATGTATAGAGGGATTTCAATATTACTTGGCACAAATGTTCACCATTGTGAGGCGGAGTGTCGCGCACAAGATTCAGGTCCTTGCGGCCAAGGTCAAGGTCACACATAGAGGTCAAAGTTCAGATAAAAATATGAAGATGTGTATAAGTACCATTTAGTCATCATTTATTGAGGAATTGTAACACAAATGGTCATTATCAAGACTATGGCTGTGATACATATAATTAAGGTCAATATATACAAGGTCAAGGTCACTAAAGATGATGAAATATCCAGATTTTGTCCGGAGCATCTCTCCTACACGCATGGAGGGATTTTAATGAAATTTCATAGAAATGTTAACCATTATGAGAAGCCATGTCACGCACATGAACTAGGTCTCTTGGTCAAAGGTCAAGGTCACACTTAGAGGTCATTGAAAAACTCTTGTCCGGAGCAAAACTTCCACATGCATAGAGGGATTTCAATATAACTTGGCACAAATGTTCACCATTGTGAGGCGGAGTGTCGCGCACAAAATTCAGGTCCCTGCAGCCAAGGTCAAGGTCACACATAGAGGTCAAAGTTTAGATAAAAATATGAAGATGTGTATAGGGACGATTTAATCATCATTTATTGAGGGATTGTAACACAAATGGTCATTATCATGACTACAGCTGTGACACATGTACTTTAGGTCAATATATGCAAGGTCAAGGTCACTAAAGATGGTGAAATATCCAGATTTTGTCTGGAGCATATCTCCTACATGTATGGAAGAATTTTTATAATACTTTATGGAAATGTTCACCACCATGATATGTATTGCTCCATGCATGATCCAGGTCTCCAGGTCAAAGGTCAAGGTCACACTTGGAGCTCATTGAAAAACGCTTGTCTGGAGCAAAACTTCTACATTCATAGGGGGATTTCAATATAACTTGGCACAAATGTTCACCATTGTGAGGCTGAGTGTCGCACGCAAAATTCAGATCCCTGCGACCAAAGTCAAGGTTACACATAGAGGTCAAAGTTCAGATAAAAATTTGAAGATGTGTATAGGGACCATTTAGTCATCATTTATTGATGGATTGTAGCACAAATGGTAACTATCATGACTACAGGTGTGACACATTTAATTTAGGTTAATATTTGCAAGGTCAAGGTCACTGGAGATGATTAAATATCCAGATGTTGTCCGGAGCATATTTTCTACATGCATGGAGGAATTTTAATGATACTTTATAGAATTGTTCACCACCATGAGACGTAGTGCCCTGCACATGAACCAAACCTCTAGGTCAAAGGTGAAGGTCACAGTTAGAGCTCATAGAAAAACGCTTGTCTGGAGCAAAACTTCTACATGCATAGAGGGATTTCAATATAATTTGGCACAAATGTTCATCATTGTGAGGCTGAGTGCCGTGCATAAAATTCAGGTCCCTGCGACCAAGGTCAAGGTCACACATCCTGTGCATATCTTCCCTACTGATTTGTTTTAAGGTTTATTTAACAACACAGTGCCAAGAATAAAAACTTGCTTGCTAGATAACACTTATCCATAATGCCCCCATCTCCATCTAAAGCTTTCGTAAACGGGCGTATTTTGTGACTATGGCACCCTTGTTTGTAATGTTGATTTTCCTTTGATCTTTAAAAAAGAGCAAAATGGGGAAACAAATTCAATGCAGAAAATGTGTGCCGATTCAATCATGATGAGCCTTAAACATTATTTATTTGTACATGTATCAAAAATAGAAAGTAAGTCATCATATGGCGACTCGAATACATGGTGTAAGATAGTACATAGATGTACCACCGTTTAAACGGTATCATTTTGGTTCTTAACAATCGTGTAAACATTTACAAAAAACTGTAAACGTGGGAGCCTTACTTCTAGTAGAAGTAACTATTATTATACAGCACTTTATTTTTTCTCCAGATCTTATCAAAGATATAAGGGATCCAGAAAAACCCCAGACACTGGAAGAATTAAATGTTGTTTCTGAAGACAATATATCTGTGGAGGAATTTTCTGATGATAAATTATATGTGAAAATAGTATTTGTTCCTACAGTGCCACATTGCTCATTAGCTTCTTTAATAGGTAAGTTAAGTTATACCATTAAAAATTCTGTAAGAGCCACATTTTCTATGAAGATAAGTTACTTAATTTAAAGCTACATGTATGAAACTCATCTATAGATCTCAATTATCAGTATGATTAGCAGTATTTTTATATTGATGTATTAAATTTGATTGGAAAAAAGGTTAAAGCTGCAAGCTTTCATATGAGCCAAAATATTTCAAGAAAATTAGACTTGAGAAAAATATACTGAAATTTTAAGAAAAGAGAAAAAGATTCAAGATTCAATTAATAATTTACATGTTATGTGCGATTAACACTGATTTTGCAGTACTTATCACCATATTCCGACCTAACTGTGTGATTTTGCATATTTTTACCTCTAATGTTGGTAATTTACATGGATTGTAAGTGCCACTGGCAATGTGTTGATTACTTTCTTTGTTCACGTCACAATTTATTTCTTTTAAATACATTTTCAAAATTTTCATAAGATATGTGAATCAAGTTTTCTTCTGCAGTTGATACATAAAAAAAATGTTAAATATTAATAATTTATTGAATAACAGTATTTTACTTACAGAATTGATTTTTTGACTGTTACATGAAACACAAAAAAAAAATGTTTATTACAGGGTTATGCTTAAGAAGGAAGTTGGTAACTTGTTTTCCAGAAAAACACAAGGTGAGATTTTTTAAAGAGTATCTAAGTGTTTATTGTATTCGAAATTAATTAATATCAGAGATATCAGCAGCACCAATGATTTACTAAGTAAAACAGTTTCCACACCTGGTAACTACAATGTATTTGGTAATTAGGGTTTTAAAATATTTTAGCAAAACTGCTATAGTTTCATCTTTTCCACTTAATTATAATGTTTTAATTATACCAAAGTAAGTACTTATTTGAACAGAAAATGTAGAAAAAAACTGCGACAGTATCAAGTAACTTCAAGTTATATAACTGTCTGTTTCTCAATAACTGCAGTAACATATAGGTAAATAATTATGTTCACACTTTCTTTATTTTCAGCTTGATATTTTGGTGAAGGAAGGAAGTCATGACACTGCTGATGAAAGTACGAAAGTTTATAATCCAATAATTACCGAAAACACATAAAAACTTGCATACTTTATATTAAAGTATAAAAAAATTTGAGAAATTTTACAGAATTATTTTTCAACATGAACATTATACTGTCAAGGTTTGATGACATCATGAAGAATAGCACATAATGTTACTTTGCAAAAGTCATTTAAGATTTATTAACACCATAAGATAAGCATGGAATAAATTGAAAATTTATTTGCTTTACAAGTATAATCAAGTTATATTTCTCTGTAAACACTTCTTGTTTCACATGTGGCTACACCACTCTTGAAATGCATGTATCAATTTTGATAAAGAAAATGAGTGTATTTGGGTTATCATGATACAATTTGACATAAGCCAATGTTAAACGATTCATTAGGGTTCGTAATCCATAGAGTCTGTATTTTCATACACTTGAAATAATTACATAGATATTACATTTACAGTATTGACTATGATAATTATTCTTATTATACGCTTTACCTGGAGAGAGTGATACTTACAGTCATACAAGCTATTAATAATTAACATCTAATTAGTAATTTCATATATGAATTATATTGTGATATAGAAAGTTATTTATGTACTTATTAATCATAACTGAAAAGGAAATTCCTCAAGTTTGCACAACTCTGCAACCTAATATAAATTGAAAATGTAACATTTAATCAGTTTGAAATGAGCACTTAATTTTTAACTTTTTTTTTCAGTTAATAAACAAATCAATGACAAGGAGAGAATAGCAGCAGCAATGGAGAACCCAAATCTACGAGATCTTGTGGAAAAATGTATAAATGACGAGGGAGGTTATGGATAAACTATTAAATTAAACAATGTAAAAACAATATTCTAACAACTACAAATGGATCCTGCTTCCTGTGCCAAATTATCTCAAACTTCCAAACCTAATTATATTATAAAACATCAACAATAACAACAATCAGAGTATCAGTAATTGTCTAATAATGGTGGAGGCAATCTACTTAGGCCAAGGAGCATTTGTGTGTAATAATAATACGTATTAAAATGTGCAATTAGTGACATGGTTAAGTGCTAATGGAGAATGATATCCATATACAATGAATATAGTGAAGTTTAGGCTCTTATCAATTTGTTTCAATTCTATTAAGCTTCACAGACTTAGTTTACATTGTACAACAACTTTGTTCATCCAAAAAGATTGCTTGATTTTTGCTATCATTGGCTATAACTTTGTTAATTATGAATGGGTGTCTTCATACTTGAACACAACAATCGTTTGGACAAGACCTTCAACTAGACCAAATTGATAATGACCTTCACTCATCGGTGACCTTGACCTTGAAGGTCAAATAAATGAATATTGCCTGATTTTTGCTACAATTGGCTATAATTTAGTTATTTTTGAATAGATTGTCGTCATACTTAAACACAACTACCTCAAGGACAATGTCTTAAGTTTGACCTTGATCTTTAAATAACCTTGACCTTGAACATCAAGTTATTGTTATTTCTCAGTTTTTGTTATAATTGGCTATAACTTGATGATTAATGAAAGTATTGTCTTCGTGATTGTGCAAGATGTTAAAGAAAATTTAATTGAACTTGACTTTCATTTGACCTCGACACTTGAAGTCTAATTTGTGAATTTTGATGCAATAACACCATTGATTTGTTATTTATTTATGGATTTGATTTATACTTGGACAAAAGAACCCATATGACAAAACCCGTATGATGAATAATTCTTTTTGACCTTGACCATCAAGGTCAAATTATTGAAATTTGCATAAATTGTCAAAACTTTGTTATTTATTTATAGATTTGATTCATTTTTTGACAGAAGAATTGATATGACAAAACTGACATGTTAAATTATCTGATATGACCCAGATATAGACAAATAAAATTTTTAAAGAATGCTCAATAAGACAAAATTGAAAATGTGGCAGGCTCGCTTTGATTGAGCTTGTTCATTGACTACAGACATAGTGGTAATTGCAAGCTACTGCCCATGCCCCCTGGCACCCACTTAAGTAGAATTCAACATTTAAATATGATAATTGTGAAAAGTTGAATTTGAAAACATCCACAGATGTGTTTATATGGCAGTATTCATGGAACCTGACAAAACTGACATAAGAGTAATTCAAATTTGACATTGATTTTTAAATGACCTTGACTGTCAATGTCAGATATGAAATTTGAATTCTATTTGTTGCATAAGAAATTGTTTGTAGGAAATCTATAATATTCTACCTCTGATGTGTTTGACTTTAGAAATAAGAAAAAGTTGGGACCGGCACCCGCTGGGTCGTGGCTCTTGTTATATTGATAATAGTTTCAATATAGAATGGTATAAATGATGTACAAACATGTCTTGATTCTTAACTTGAACAGCACCTTTCAAACTACATGTTAAAAAGTTTTGACATTTTCTCTGTAAATCATAATAATTATTTACTATTTAAAGATTGATTTAGCTCTAATTATGCTCAATTCAAGACAATTGCTTTTGTATTTTTCAAGGGTAATAGGGTTCTTTAGCTCACTTCAAAATTAATAATTTTGTCTTTTAAGGTATGTCATTCTATCTGTGATATGAAAATTTATAATATAATGTAGGATATAATAAACTTTAATTATTGTAGCATGATTTGTATTTTTTTGTTATAACCAGAATTATTATGTTTATATAGATATTAACAATAGTATTGTTATTGTTCATAAACTAGTATTGAAAGGAATGCATGGTTTTGATTGGTTAAAATAGTTCTCTTGATAAAAGATTGCAAAATTCCATTAAAGGCATAAGAAACAAATAAAGTTTTCATCTTTAGAAAGGGCAAACATGGTTTTAGAGAATGTTAGATGCTCATTTAAAAAGTAGTGATAAATGTGAAATAAATTATCATCAGAGTAGCTAAATGTAAACAAAATACTATTTTGACTTCCATATAAAATACTATTTCACTATAACTGTACTTATAATTGCCAAAAACCAACAAATAAAAAGAAGGTTAAGGATAATGGTTAATGAGTTACTTTTTGGATACTATAAAAGAACACCAAAATGAAAAAGCTATTGAGAAAATAAAAGCATTTCTGAGTTATAATGAGCCTTGAAGACTTGCAGAATACTTCAGTTTATTTGTTGTTTCATTAATTTTGTAAACCACTGATTTTTCAGCATGAAAGATATAAAGTACCACTACATGAGACTAAGAGTTTTATGCCCCCACATAAAAAGACAAGAGTATATCGGAATGGGTGGTTGGTTGGTTCATACATACACATGCCACCTGATGGTTGTCAAATCACTATCTTGATAAAAAATAAGCCCTGGTTTATGCAACTTGGTAGGAACCTGCCCCATATTGATTTTCAGGTCAAAGGCACAAGAGCAAAATATTGACCATTAAAAAATAATATTCAAAGAGCAATTATACTATTGTTATGGTTCTAAAAATGTTTGGCTAGAAGAAAAAAATGTATTTCTGGGAACAATGTTGGCTTGATAAATGGTCAAAACACTTGAAACATCAAGCTCAGTAAATGTAAAACAGTAGTTGATATTTGTTTAATTTTCAGAATGAACATGCAATTTTTAATACATACAAGCCATGCATATACATATTCTTTGATGCAATGACTTATATGTAAAACAAACATGTTCTAAACATGTGATATAATTATATACATGTAAAAGTATTATGTTTAATTAAAATTGTTACTTCTACAGTATCGGCATGTCATTGTCAAAAAAGTTTCATCGCTACATTTGTTGAATCGTGGAACTTTAATCATATTTATATTGCTAAAGCTGGCACAGTATCATTAAAATTATACACTGACAGTCAGTACAGACCTGAACATCTGGTTCCAGATAGATGTTTATAGTGTTAGCAAGGCTTTTTGTGTTTAAATGTTGAATTCTGCTTAAGCCATTGCTAGGAAGCATGGACAGTATTTTGCTTTTCCAGTACTGTACATGTACAGACTCAATCAAACAATATTTACAATTTTGTCATTTTGCGTGTTTTTTTAGGGATTATGTTTTTCTCTATATGAACACAGAAGAAAAAATAACACTAAAATTATCAAAATAATTACCTGTGTAGTTATCTGCCAAGAGCTATAGGTATTCAAACGCTTGCATTCACAACCTCGGCTGTTCCAGTAAAAAGAATTGGTTGTTCCAAAAAATTATTGAATAGCTAAATATTCAAGGGCTTCCTAATCTTTAACCTCTTCAGTCCAAAATGGTCAGCATCCATTTTCTAGCCAGTGTTTCAAATCAAAAGAAACCTTAGCGCTCTTATACTGTGGTAGATCAACTGTTGGTTTCAGATCATTCCTGAATTATGTAAATTAAAAATTAAATTAAAATTAAATTAAATTGAAATTAAATTAAAATTATATTAAAACTATATTAAAACTATATAAAAATTAAATTAAAAGAAGGTAATGTAACAGTAATAGAAATGAAACTGAAAATTTTACAAAAAAAACATTAAAATAACAGTAACTATAACCAGAACAATAACAGGAACAGTAACTATAACCAGAACAATAACAGGAACAGTAACTATAATCAAAACAGGAACAATAACAGGAACAGTAACTATAACCAGAACAATAACAGGAACAGTAACTATAACCAGCACAATAACTGGAACAGTAACTAAAACTGGAACAATAACTATAATCAAAACAATAACAGGAACAGTAACTATAACCAGCACAATAACAGGAACAATAACTATAACTGGAACAATAACAGGAACAGTAATTATAACCAGCACAATAACAGGAACAGTAACTATAACCGGAACAATAACAGGAACAGTATATATAACCGGAACAATAACAGGAACAGTAACTATAACTAGAAACATAACAGGAACAGTAACTATAACCAGAACAGTAACTATAACTGTGTCAATAACAGTAACTTTAACCAGAACAATAACAGGAACAGTAAATATAACCAGAAACAGAACAGTAACTATAACCGAAACAATAACAGGAACAGTAACTATAATCAGAACAATAACAGGAACTTAAGTAACTATAAATGGAACAATAACAGGAACAGTAACTATCAATGGAACAGTAACTATAAGTGGAACAATAACAGGAAAAGTAAGTATAACCTGAACAATAACAGTAACTATAACCAGAACAGTAACTTTAACTGGAACAATAACAGGAACAGTAACTATAATTGGAACAATAACAGGAACATTTACTATAACCAGAACAATAACAGGAACAGTAACAATAACTTGAACAATAACAGAACAGGAACAGTAAAGTAACTATAACAGGAACAATAAAGTGACTGTTACAGTTAGTAACAGAAACAGTAACATTTAAGTATTACAATAACAGAACAGTAAAGTAACAATAACAGTATAGTAACAGGAAAAATAACAGAACTGTAATTATAACAGTAAAATAACTGAAACAATAACAGAACAGTAATAGTAAAGTAAAACTAAAATATGTAACAGTATATTCATTTAATATAAAATATGAAACTTACTTTGTATTGAGGATTTGGGTCCTAATCATACATTTCCGGGATGTTTCATTTTCTAGCACTTCTCATACACTACTGCTGAATGTCCTTATAGCTAGAGCATCTGATATACTCGAGCATTTTTTATGAATGTGTTCCTAGACAAGCACTTCTCA